GGGAGAAAGGCGGAGGAGCCTTGAAATGATGTGATTCCCATTCCGTTGAAAGAATAACTCATAGATGTGCAACAAACATAAAAATCACATCCAAAAAATTTCCAGATTAGCACGGATATCTTTTCAAAGTCAGCTCAAAATTCTGTTTTGCTAAACTTTTTCAGCTTTGCGCAACTTTGGGAGAAAATCAATTACGCGGCGTAGGAGTCTACAAAAAAAATTCAAGTTGACTATATGACTAGAATGTTGTTTCATGAACTTTATGAGCTTTTGACGACAACAAAAGGCTGTCTCTTGAACTTGGAGAGTTCAGATCATGATTTTTTTTTTTTGCGGCTATGTCATTTCAAACATAGAGCTTTGATCCGAAGGGTATTCCGATGTGAAATTGCAGGTAAAGATGCTCCTAATTTTGAGTAACTTACTGAAGCATCAGTAAATTACACCAAATTATCTACATCGTAAGCAAAAACACGAGTAGAATCGCAAGTCGCTTCATCCAATGCCAATGAATTCATCAGTCTGTTGCATATCGAAAAATCAAATCAAAATCCCTTTTGAATTGATTAAATTAATATCTGGAGTTGACTCCAAAACTAATATGTTTGATATGGAAACTTGAACTATCATAGTTGAAGATCCATGATCCAATGTAGGAGTTTCTGTTTATGAGTTTCTTCTTATGTTGCGGATATGGCTTCAAAACTCTTCTACTTTGCTCGTTTGCGCCGCATTTGAACTAACTTGCTAGCTACATGATTTTTTTTAAAGAGCTAGTGTGATGATCATGCAGGACCACCAAACTCCTCTTTTTTTTACTCATTTGACTGAACTCGGAGTGATTTCTCCAAGCGCCTACGTACCTCAGTGAAGAGGATCAAGTCATATCGTAGTTCAAGAGGATGAGTTTTTTTGGGATCCGTACATACTTTATACTCTTGCGGTCTAGGAGTATCATGCAATTTATGTTCAGACCTTAAGGAGCGTAGCCAACCTTCATGGGAAATATTGCTTCTTTTTGGTGTGAGAAGTGCACTAATAAAGATTGGGCGTGGATCTTCCAGAGTCCTAGATTTAATTCCTTGAGGTCGTCTATGGTTGATTTCACGCCATCCTCCGATTGAGGAGGAGTCTTTTGAACATCATCATTTGTATCATCAACGTCTGGACCTTCTTCCACTATTATATGATAGGATGATTCTGTCAAGTTTGAATTTTCCACCTCACTTCCCACGAAGACTGTAATGGCTTTATCTTCCTCCTTCTTGGTTTCTCCATGAAATTGGTTGGTGACAACAATTGTGCTTCTTTTCACCTTCAAAAAACCATCAGTGGTTATTGACAATACATCCTTTCTCTTTATAAGTGATGGGAAAAAACTGTTAATATCCTTATCGTCAACTACATCACAAGAATCTTGATTTTCATGCTCGAGGAACCTCCTTTTGGATAATGAATACAGAAGTATTTGAGGTGGTGGCATCTTCGTCCACTTGTTTAGAAGATCCTCTTTCATCCTTGCGGCCCAATCTTTCAAATGTAGAAACACGAAGTGTCAGTCGTCCAATGCATTCGAAAACCAAAGTTCATCATGGTGTTTTACCCTTCTTAGTTTCCTTTGTATTTTGTGTAGAGGTGTAGTGAGATGAAGTTATTTCTTTCCCCTTCTTAGACGAAATTCAAAGAGGCTCCGGCAAGTTGAATCCTAACCCAAACTTAGGAGTAGCGACATGATATCCTTACTTTCGCAACTGCATTTGAGACTTTGTAAGCCCGTGTATCTTTTCACCAATGACTTTATCCTAGAGTTCTCCTAACTTTGTTGGATTTGAGAAATCATAGACGGATTTTTCAAACAATGTGAAGACCTTTTGATCAAAGTTCCCTCTTATCTTACCAACTTGCCTATTGCCTTTTGATGGATCCAAATCGATACACATGACGTGTGCAATTGGGACAGTCATCTTCTCCTTCAAATCTTGGAATTTTATGTGACTAAGTTCCTTCCTCAGTGGTTCGACTTGTTGAGTGCATTCCTCTAAAAGTGGTTGCCCCTTTTTCGATGTTCATGTGGAATATAGTGAAAAATTGGTTGGTCGTCGACCATATTAGTCTGCACGTCTCATTTAGGTAGTGAAAGCTTAGTGGAAATCTCTTCCGTTCTCTTCTTAGACATCTTGATAGCGGCCCAATGAACTTTACTATCTTCGACATCAGTTAGGTCGGCTTCTACATGTTGATCCATATTTGCTTTTCCACAATCTAATTAGAATTTTGCACCTGCAAAATATGACTCCGTTTCAGTGAAAGGATTGATGTCTGCATCAATTTTGATAACTTCACTATCTTTCATATACTTCATGCACTGATGCAAACTAGACGGAACCACTCCATTTTCATGAACCCAAGGACGCCCGAGCAACAAGTTGTATGATGTTTTGGCATCTATGCATGAATCAAAGTGTTTGATTTCACGTCACCAATGGATAATTCTACACGAATCTTCCCTATGGATCGTTGTCCTCCTTGATTGAATTCTTGGATCGTCAGATTGCTTTTGGATAATTCATCAATAGAGATCCCAAGTTTTTTCAAGATAACTTTTGGCATAATATTCACTGTCGAACCACCATCGATTAGAATGCTATTGAGATGTTGTTCTCGAATTGATACTAACAAACAAGAGCCCATTATGTAGCTTAGACCCTAACAACAAGTCGTCATCTGTAAAGGCAATTTTAGCACAACATGGGGAAACTTTTTAATTAGCTTGATGTTCTTGTGTTATTGCTGCAGTATACTTTCATTTGCTTCCCTTTGTTTCGTCTGTGCTGGAAACAACATCTGTTGAACCAATTTGACTACTGCAAAAGAATTTTTTAGGAAAGAATTCATCCAACATAATGGGTTTTCTAACCTTCTGCGATAAAGAATCATTGATCTTTCGGCTAGTAAAAGGCTTGGCACTTTTTTGATGGTTGTAGTTGATTCACGTCACTCTTTGTTGCTCTTGTCTTAGAAAGTCGTATCCTAAGGACTTCTTGATGCCTCCGCTTCTTATAAGTAACCAAAGTCCAACCATCATATTCATTTTCTTTGTGGTAGTCTATCTCTAGTGGACCCTCAAGAGTTTTCCTTGGAATATCAACTTCAATGGGAGCTAAACTTTCAAACTGTAAGAAGGTGGTGTTTGGAATAGATGACGACCTTGAGCACTTCTTTGATTTGGTGCTACACTAGCATGATTTGCCTCCGCAAATTCATCTTGGTCAATGATGATTTTTCCTTCACTTACCAACATCATGATCTTCTCTTTCAAGATAAAACATTTACTTGTAGGGTGGCCAAGGACGGGATAGAACTTGCAATATCTAGGATCATCAACCTTGTTGATCTCTTCAGGCCTCTTTGACTCGGGAATATTAATAACCTTCTTAGCTAGCAATTCCTCAAGAATCATAGGTACATCTGAATCGGAAAATGGGTATACCTTTACCTCTAATTCATTCAAGGTTGGACGTCGTCTCTCCTCTCTTAGATATTGACTTGGGGATATTCCTCCTCTTTTAGTTTACTCTTAGAGGTACATTTTACTGAAGTTGCTTTAACCGCCATAGATTCCTTAGTCTGGATCTTTGAGGTCATACCTTTTTTGAAGTCCTTCTCTTGCTTTGTTAGATCAGCCAAAAGAGATGCCTTCCCATAACTTATGATGCTCAACTCCATGTCATGTGCTCATGTAACAAGTTCCTCAAAGAATCGCGGTTTGATTCCTTGTAGTTTGTATAAAAGTCCCCAATACATGCCCTGAATGCACATTTCCATAGTAGATATTTTAGAAAGACGATCTTTGCAGTCCAAACTCAATGATCTCCATCGATTGATGTAATCCACCACTTGCTCATCCTTTCTTTGCTTAGTGCCGGTCAACTCTATCAAGCTTACGGTTTGGCGAGTACTGTAGAAACGATTGAGAAATTTCTTCTCGAGTTTCTCCCAACTATCAACGGACTCGTGTTCTAGGTCGATGTACCAGTCGAATACATTCCCTTTCAGCGACCGAGCAAACTGTTTTACCAAAAGGTCACCCTCTATTCCAATATTGCTACAAGTTTCAACAAAGTGGGCGATATGCTGCCTTGGGTTTCCCTTGCCATCAAATCGTTATAGCTTTGGTGGATGATAGTTTGTAGGCATCGATAGGCAATCAATCCGTCTAGTGTATGGCTTGGATTACTACAAGTAACTTTGTGGTCTTCCGCCATATTGAGCCCTGATAGTGTTCGTTATCATGTCGTGCAACTGTTGGACAGATAATGCAACAGCTAAAGCAGATTGTTTCTTATTTTGAATTTATGACTTTGCTAGAGGTTCTTCAACGTCCTTGTTTCGTTGATCAAAACCAGATGGACAAGTGGGAATGTGACTTGACTCTCCAAATGTAAAGGCCTCCAAGTTGTTCATAAGTTGAGCAATATGAATTTATTTGTCATGAACGGATTTCTTCAAGGCCTCAATGGTTTGCTCCATCATTGAAAACTTCTCGTCCATGTCAGTCGAGTCAGTCATATAAGCTTTGACATTCATTGAAGTTGGAGAATCCATTGAATCTTTGGAATCACCAAAGTTAGAGCCAATTTGAGAAGATTCTTCGAAGAATACAGACGCAAGATTCCTCTAGGTGTTGCACTTACGACAATTGTATGAGAATTGTTACTTTTCATTGCCTCCAAAGAAGTGAAGTATTCAGATCCATCTAGCCCACTGTTATTGAACTTACGCCGAGTAATAGGGACAACATGACCGAGACCAGAAGACACGACATCAATAGAGTCCTTGATAGAAAAATCACAACTCTTTCTGAACACCATTGCAGTAGTAGCCTTTGTAGTTTCTGATTTGCAAGAGAAAGAGATGCAGAGCAGAATCGATCCCACTGGGCGTGCTAAATTTGTTCGCAAAAATTTTTTGTAGTCGCTAAAAATTAACTGCAAGCAAAATAAATAAAAGAAAAAATGTGATTTTTATTAATGAATCGTTGTGAGTACAATTTCATTGTTTTCTTGATTCTCTCTCCTAAGTTTCTCCGTTAATCGAGGACCTTCAGTAGCGTATTTCCCAAATTTTTGGATGATGTAAACCTTTTTGAGATGTTGTCGATTTTCGGGACGTCAAAAAGTGCTTCGTCGTTGTAAGTCACTCTCCGGGAAGAACTCCGTTGTTCACTCCTTCGAAGAACTATTCATGTTGATGTTGTAGCTTTCTCCAATTTTCTTAGTGCTTGTTGAAGAGTTTTCTTGATCCCCTTGAATGTCATGTACATCCCTTATTTATAGTTGTAGGGAGTGGACAAGGTTGCTTGTGATTGGCCAAAGGATATCATTTTGACACTTGGTGCATTTTGATTCGTTCTTGCATTTGACTGGGACTACCACCTCATTTGAACACGTGGCGTCACCTTGTTGGTCTTGGATGCCTAGTCACTATGATATGTGGCATGGGTTCGGGCTTCAAGGTGAAATGAACCTTGGATTTGCATTTAATAAGATGGACTTATTTATTTGTAAAACCCAAATTAATTATTCAGCGCACAACACATGGATTTAATTCAAATTTTGTATGAATTTGATCCAATACAATTTATGTGTCTACAGAATCATTAACAGAAACAATTCAATTATCTTCGAGTTGAATTCGAGATATTTGATGAATATCTAAACAAACTCACATAAAAATTAAAAAAATGACAAAAAATTCATAATATATACAATGAGAAATACAAAACAATCGGTGATTTTGAAAACAAAAGCAAAAGAAATCACACTAAAAAATTGAAATTAAATTTATCAATTGATAGATTTCTTGAATTAATTTAGAGAATTATTGATCAAATCATGAGAAGCTTGAATAATTTGTTTTTCTTGATTTGCAAAGAAACTTGAAGAAAGAAAAAATAGAAAACGTGAATCTTGGGGGAAGAAAATGTGAAAGACGGGGAAAGAAGATTAATGGGTAGTCGTGTGTTTGTTTTTTCTTTATTATCAATAATGGTTTAAAATTTGATACAATGTTGATCTGTTTTGAGAAAAAAAAGAAAAGATAAATAATAATATTTTGGATATAAATTATTTTCTAAAATATTGACATTTTGACATTAGAAATAAATATTGTAAAGTGTAGTTGTTTTTGACTAATTATGTTAGATATTATGACAAGTTTATGAAAATTTTCAAAACAACAATTTTTAGCTTCTATGCGAGATCTCAGCCATAATTTCATTATTTATTTAAAATGTCAATCTTTAAGTTTGTTAAGGCTTGAGTGATGTTTTTTTTTTTTATTCATTTGAAAGAATACATATATTAAACAACAGAATAGAGAAAATATGGGGAAAAGTATTTTAATTTATTTACAAAAATTAAAGTTAACATAAATTAAATATTGAAAGAGCATATGTCGTCATTATTCTTTCGAGCGTTTTCTCCTCTATTCTTAAATATTCCATTTTTAAAAAAAATGTATTTTGTCTGCCGAATCATTCGACAGAAACTATTCAATCTTCTTCGAGTTGAATTCGACAAACTCACAAAAGTAAAAAAATCTATGATATATATAATAAAAAAGGAAACATAATCAGTGATTTTGAAAATAAAATTAAAAGAAATCTGAGTAAATAATCAAAATTACCTTTATCAATTGAGGAAATTCTTGAATTAATTTAGAGAATTGTTGAGCAAATTATAAAAATCTGGAATATTTGTTTTTCTTGATATGCAAAGGAACTTGAAGAAAGAGAAAACAGAAAACGTGAATGGTGGGGAAAGAAAAAGTCATGGGAAAAAAAGATTAATGGGTAGTCAGTCATGTGTTTGTTTTTTTTTTTCTTTTTTTTTGGTTACTGTTTAAAATTTGATCCAATGTTGGATTGTTTTGAGAAATAAAAAGAAAAGATAAATAATAATATTTTGGATACAAATTATTTTTTAAAATATTGACATTTTGATACTTTAAATAAATATTTTAAATTTTAGTTGTTTTAACTAATTATATTAGGTATTATGACTAGTTTGCTAATTTAAAATTCTTAAAAGAATAATATTTTAGCTTCTAATGAGACTCCTTAGCATAGTTTCACTATTTATTTAAAAATTAAGTTTGTTAAGGATTGAGTTATGTATTTTTTTTTAATTACTTTGAAAGAAAACATATATTAAACAACAAAATAGAGAAAATCAAAGGACAAAATATTTGAATTTTTTTTTTAAAAAAAATTAAAGTTAACATAAATTAAATATTGAAAGAGCATATGTCGTCATTATTCTTTCTAGCGTTTTTTTCTCTATTCTTAAAAAATCCATTTTTTTAAATTGTATTTTGTCTTCCTAATCATTCCACAGAAACTATTCGATCTTCTTCGAGTTAATTATATTTGATGAATATCTCAACAAACTCACACAAAAATCGAAAAAAATTAATAAAAATCCATAATATATAAAATCAGAAATACAACATAATTGATGATTGAATACAAAATCAAAAGCTCACTAAATAATCGAAATTACCTTTATCAATTGAGAGATTTCTTGAATTCATTCAGAGAATTGCTGAGCAAATTATGAGAACCTTGAATAATTTGTTTTTCTTGATCTGCAAAGAAATTTAAAGAAAGAGAAAATTGAAAACGTGAATGGTGGGGAAAGATAACGTGAAAGATGGGGAAAGAAGATTAATGGGTAGTCAGTCAAGTGTTTGTTTTATCTTTTATTGGTTAGTGGTTTAGAATTTGGTTAAATGTTTGATTGTTTTGAGAAATAAAAGGAAAGATAAATAATAATATTTGGATACAAATTATTTTTTAAAATATTGATAAGTTGACATTTTTTAAAGTATAATTATTTTAACTAATTATGTTAAGTATTATGACTAATTTTCTAATTTAAAATTTTCAAAATAACAATATTTTATCTTGTAATGGACCATCAGCCATAATTTCACTATTTATTTAAAATATCAATATTTAAGTTTTTTAAGTGCTGAGTTATTTAATCTATAATATTCACATTGTGTGTGTTTTTACATATCTATTATTTTTAAGACTCATATAAAATAAGTATTTGAGTTTTATTCTTCTATTAAAAAAAAGGTTATCTACTTTAACATTCACATGTGTAACAATCAATAAAAATGATGGGCCAGTTAGAAACCTTACAGCCATTGCAAATGTTGCTACACTGTTACCACATGCAATTACTTTTGGTTGAACCAAATTCGTATGATTTTCTTCGAAAGGACTCACACCATTATGAGTAATTTCACCTCTTATAAAGAGTTTTTTTTTAATGTATATTTTACTGAATTAATTTATTTTTAGTATTAGTACTTTTAAATAAGAATTACTTTTATATTCTGTATAATGGTTGAATAAATTTTTAAAAGTCTTTTATAGTGATTGTGATCATGGAAAGATAAAAAAATAATTAGACATATCTACTTAATTTTTTTTAGATCAAATAAGTTTTTGTGATTTTTTGGATTACAATTGTACTATTTGATGAATTTTACTGCAATTATGTTTTTAAAAATTGTATATTACCTTTTTTTAACTTTATTGAAGTTAATATAATATTTTTTAATTCATTATTATTTTTAATAATTTTAATACAAACCTAGATACTAGATAATTTTATTATTTAATTTGGTCATATCTTCACATATGTTAAAATATTTTTATATGTGCAATTAAAATTACTGTGCTGGGATATATGATAAACTTTACAGCATTGAATATGGATGTAAGTGTACACAAATTATCAATATATGTGTATATATGTATATTTGTCACAGTAGTGGGTAAAAAGACATCAAATTATTAAGTGAAATATTAATATAGTAATAATGATGCCTAACATGTGACTATGTAAATTGTTAATATAATAATAAAATAACAATTGAGATTTTACTTAATCTTATAATCGTATTTGCTTAAATAAGTTAAATTGTAACATTTAAACATTTTCTACTAACATAATATTATTATCCGTGCATCGCGCGTGTGTGTCTGAATATTAATTATACTAATAAACCGGAGAAATAATATTCTTAATTAATTACAATTAGGGAAATCTATGTAAATATACTATATTAAGAAAAGATTTATCATTTGTAATAATGATATTTTTTCACTCGATCACTTTTAATACACTTATAATACTATTTAATATATATTACAAAAAACAATTTATTTTTCATATATAATCCAAATTTTATTCATTAATAATATATTTTTCACACATTTTAATACACATATAATTCAATGTGTCAATTTCTTACCAAACAAACATAATAAATAAATAAATATATATATATATATATATATATATATATATATATATATTTATTTATTCATGCTTAATTCACTTTTATTACTATTGAGATTCAACATAGTATTTTTATATATTGCTATAAAAATAATAATTAAATAAATAAGTATAAACAAATGTCAATAATTAGAATTAGAATGACACATGTCAATATCATAAAATATTAATAATTTTAGAATTCAAAAATTAATTAAAAATGTTTTGATCGTCTATCTTAAATTAACCAAAAAGAAATAAAAGAGTACTGTTGGAATCAGTTTCCACGAAAACGATCAACAAATTTGAATTTTAAAATTTTCCCATTTTGAAATATAATTTTAAAATTGAAGTACGATTTAATAATAATAATAATAATAATAATAATAATAATAATAATAATAATAATAATCTATATATAATAGGAGAGAAAGAAAAGGTCACATGTCATCAACACAATTATTCTTAAAGTCTAGTTTTAAAACAGATATTGTCAGTTAATTTAAATAATAAATTCAACTTTAAAAACAAAGAAGAATATAAAAGTTTTTTTTTTAAAAAAAGTTTTGAAACTTAACATTTAAATTCAGATTTAAACAAATAACAATATAATACCTCTTTTTTAAAAAAACTTATATTGCAAAATAATTTTTAAATTCAACTTTACAAATATATAAAACAATTTTTCTTTTTAAAAAAACGTACATTTTACAACTTAGCTTTTAAATAAACACTAAAGCATATTTAAGATAATACAAAATTGTAAAGGAATCTAAACCTATCTAATTATCTCTACTTTTTTTTAAAATAAAATAAAAAGAAACTTCAACTACAAACAACAATCCCTAAAATTCCTCATCCACTTACTTAACTTGCTCCCCCAAAAGAACTCAACAATATTAATTAACTAATTTTAAATGCAATAGTCTTTTTTTATTTAGTTTTTCTAGAAAAAAAAATGCATCTCAAGAAATTCAAAGCAATAATTTACCATTCATGGAAAGTAATTTTTTTTCTTCATATTTCTTGCTTTTTCTTATGTTTTAAGTAGTTTAAATATCTATCAATAACTGTACTTTATTTTGAAAGTTCTAGATGTTGAAGATGTCAATTGATAAAGTTAGAATTAAATAATTTATGTGATGAATATATGTAGTTAATAAGGAAAACACTTTTAAGACTATATTCAATAACTATGCCAAGCATGTAATATTTTAATTTTTTTTCATCTTATGTTTTGTTTCAAAATCAAACTGTGTTGATATATTACATATAATTTATGATTCTATGTTTACTGCATATATTTATAATTTTTTAATATGCAGATAATGACGAAACCATGATGAAGATTTTGAATTGCAAGATCAGGAAGTATTTAGATTTCAAGATATTATACTTTCAAAAGAAAATATTAACTTAATTAAAACTAGAAACTCATGTTTATAGAATTCTAAATAAAAATTCTTACTATCTCACAAATTTATCTTTTCAAATGTTAACAAATATATTTAACTACATTTAATTTACATATATCGCTCTATGTTAATATAAATGAAAGTTGACATGTATCTGCTTGCAATTTGTTTGTTTATCTGATGAAGTTAGAAACGTAATATGACAACAATTTCAGCAAGGACTACAATGATAATGACAACAATTTCAACAAGGACTACAATGATAATGACGACGATGTTGATGATATATATTAGAGCATTACAAAGTTAGTAGTAGGTACATTAGCATCTCCATTTTCCGCAGTAGTTTCAGTATTAGTAGTAATAGCATCAGTACGGATTAGATTAATACTAAGAACGTTGAGGTTCCAAAACATAGCTAATTTAGTAGAGGTAGATAGTGATAGCTGTCTAGTAGTTGCAAAATAGAAATGACATCTGCTGGAGTAGATTCCAGGATAGCAATTTCAGTAGTAGTAAGTTAGTAACTAGCCTGCATCCTCCCTTTGCCAAAAAATCAACTACTTTAATCCCTTCTCCAAAGTTATGGCGAAGTACTAGATTCCCGAGTTAATACCTCAGATGGTCACTCAACTATGCACTTTTCTCTCAGAAAGTCACTTAACTTTCAATTTTCACTCAAAAGTCACTCAACTAGGCACTTCTTTCTCAGAAAGTCACTCAACTTTGAATTTTAACTCAAAAGTCACTCAACTATCCACTCTTTCCTCAAAAAGTCACTCAATTTATTAAATTATTTTTTAATTAAAATTTATTGATATTAATTATTTATATAACAAACCAAAATTTTTAAAAAATAAAAATACCATATAAACCATTTAGTGATTCACCCACCTAACCCAACCCATTAAAAAATATGATATGACCCATTTTATTTTGTCTTTAATCCTAATTCAACGTTTAAAGAGAGGAATTAATTTAAGATTAAAGACAAAATAAAATGGGTCATCATATTTTTTAATGGGTCGGGTTAGGTGGGTGGATCACTAAATGGTTTAATTTATTTTTTAAAATTTTTGGTTTGTTATTTAAATAATTAATATCAACAATTTTTAATTAAAAAATAATTTAATAGATTGAGTGACTTTTTGAGGAAAGAGTGGATAGTTGAGTGACTTTTGAGTTAAAATTCAAAGTTGAGTGACTTTCTGAGAAAGTAGTGCATAGTTGAGTGACTTTTGAGTGAAAATTGAAAGTTGAGTGACTTTCTGAGAGAAGAGTGTATAGTTGAGTGACCATCTGAGGTATTAACTCCTGGATTCCCCAACCTCCTCAACAGAAACCTGCAAGAATCCACAATAGATTGATAAATAAGGGGCGCATGGTGCATTGATTCAATTACCTCTGTGGAATTCGTTTCTACTTCAATGGGCATCATAAGCGCAAGTTCTAAACCAGCTTCGCGGGCTTTAAGTTCTACCATAAAATGAGTGAAAGCATAAAATCTTTCTCTTGAAACCAATGATCCAATCACCTTGGGAATTTTTTATCACGCCACCAATGTCGCCTGCTTAGGTCTCTTTGTTGAATGCTCCATCAACATTCAACTTAAAGACGTTAGAGATAGGGGGTACCGTCAAATTTAAAAATTTAAAGAGTCGGAGGAGTACTTAAAGGGGGGATTACTGAAGTATATAAATTCAGCGACTCGTATAAGAATTAAGGGGAGGGATAAAGTAATGGGGGGTTTGTCATTATTCCAAAAGACATGATGATTTTGTCGAAGCCAGATATGCCAGAGTGCAAGTGAGAATATATCTATCCAATGCAAATGAGACTCACGAAAAGGAACATTTAGATCATATATATTTTGAAGCCAGTGAGTTGGGGTATTGACAATATGATGCATATTCATACCCAATTCGAACAAGAAATGCCTAACCATGTAACATTCCAGAAGGGTATCCTCAATAGTTTCTATCGCACTTTGGCAGAGTGGGGAGGAGGGGTCTGAGATTACACCCAAGC